AAAAAAAAAAAAAAAAAAAAAAAAAATTAAAACGGAAGAGAAAAAACTGATTCATAACCCATGTATGCCAACTCTTTTGATCAGTTTCCACGTAAAGTTGTTTTATGTGTGTTTTATTGCCTGGTTGCCATATTTGCCTGGCTCGTAACATTTAGTTTCATGTGTGCTTTTTTCAGTTAATGTAGCACAAGACTTGGCCAGCTGTGGTGGCACACACCTGTAATCCCAGCTCTCAGGAGTCTGAGATAGGAGGATCACTGCAAGTTCAAGGCCAGCCTGGTCTACACAGTGAATTCAAAACCAGCCTGAACTGCATAGCAAAACTCTATCTCAAAAAACAAAACAAAAAAGCCCAGAATTTTATCCCATCTGATGTATAAATTGATTTTTTTTCTTTCCTTTTTTATTTTGTTGAGACTGAAACTTACTGTGTAATCTAGACTGTCCTTGAACTTGCTAGGCCGTCCAGGTTGGCTCTGAACTCGCCATTCTCCTGACTTAGCCTCTTGAGTTACTAGGTATGGGACCCAGGGCCTTTATTTATTTATTTTCTACAGGATTTTGCTAATTTGCCTGGCTGGGCTTGAACCTGTGATTCTTCTGCCACAACGTCCCAGAGTACTCAGATTTCAAGCATGGGCTACCATGTTCAGCCTATGCAGTACTTATTTTGGAGGGTATACTGTACCATACCTCATTATAGTCTACTTTTGGACATGAAGTTTACTTTTTAAAGTTTTGTGCTAATAGATACTGCTAGGATGAGCATCTTTTATCCTGTGTCCTGGGTGATTGCCTTAGGACAGCTTTATTAGTTGAAACCTAAGAACATTTTATGGCTCTTGAAGTACTTTCTCATGTCTTTCAGACTAGATTGTCTGAAGCAGAACTCTGCCTATTTATGCCATTTTTTTCTGCCCTAAAATAAGATTGCAAATTGACAACACACATCCAACCCAAGCCTTGATTGTTTCACAAGGAGGGGTGGTGGATAACACTAGCCCCTGAGAAGCTTGGCATTCTCAGGCTTCAGCTCTGCAGACCTCAGGTCACAGTATTTGTAAGCATGACCTGCAGATACAGTGATGCATGTAATAGTCATACTCTTGCCTTTTAAAGTATGTGGCATAATTCAGCACATCTACATCTACAGCAGTATGTTTTATCCCCAAAGTACCCTATTTTATAGGCTAAGGGAGAGAGGCTTGGAGGAGCGAGGAAGTTTATGCAGTGTCTCACAGCTAGGAAGCA